GAACATGTTAATAATATATGATTACATTAAAATTCTTATATTAATCATAATCATACTTCTTTTTATTACATAGGCATATGAATCAAAAATATCTAAAATGTTTAATAGTTTTGAGAGGATGAAGGAAAAGCTGAATTCAAATCTCAATGATGCGATAACAACGTTCCCTGAAATGAAAGTTTTAGGATTTTCAAAAAAAATATGACAAATATAATTGTTGGAGAAAAAACCTGAAAGCACAAACTTTTTGAATTTCCAAGTAATGAAACTGGAGTTGAAGGTATCAATTTGACACCAATAATGGGTCAAAAAACAAATGATCAAAAAGAAAATGAAGATGAAGAGGAAAATCTGAAGAAGAAAATGATAATGATGAAGTCAACCGGAAGTGGATTACTTGCTTGATTCAAATGAAGCAAGAATGAAGCAATAAAGAATGATGAGATAGATCAAAAAGAAGGTGAACTGAAGTAAAAGAGAAAGATGAAAGGCAACAACGAAAATGACAATGATGACGAGAAAAAAGATGATGATGAGCGAAGAAACAAATAATCATGAAGAACTATTCAACAACTGAAAATGAACAATGTTGGATAAAGTTGTTGACAACATTGTGGATAATTCCTTGGAACTGATTTTCAAGTTTAAATAGTCAAGAAGATGAAATCTGGAATGACCCTGAAATGAAAACTATTTTGGATAATATTGATATAGGTAAATTTTGTCTTACTTTTATTTTTAAAAAAATATATAAAAATATTAATACACAATAACAATTTTGTTTATAAATTTTGACCAGGGTCACAAATGACTAGAAGTAAAACTAATACTCTGATCAGTCAAGTTATTCAAGGTATGTTACTATCAACCTATTATTTATTTCACTAATTCAGTAATTAATATATTAATTTATAAATAACATTAAATGGATCTTGCAGAAAAGAAAAATCAGAAGGTGTACATAAACAGAAAAAGAAGTTGAAAAAGAAAAGGGAGATGATACAGGTAAATGAATGATTAAAATATATTACAATATTTATTGATTTTTTTCATAAATTGTTTATTCATAAGTGAATAATACGCTATATAAATGAGTAAAATGTAAAATATTCATATATGATGTAATGTTTCAGGTAAGGAAAACTCTGAACATGGAAATAAATGAGGAGCAGAAGCTAAGAACACGAAAGATGGAAGTAAGATAAACAAACAAAAATTGAGAAAGGAAATGCAGAAGAAGAAGTAAATAGTTGATTCACTAATAAATGAATATAATAAGTTTTATTATTCACAAATAAATAAACACAATATATACGAATAAATACAAAATATAGTATTACTATTCATAAATAATGTATGCATTACTTATTTATAAATGAATACATTACTTATTCACAAATGAATTACTTAATCAAATTTTCTTTATCTTTCAGGAAGAAAATCAGAAAATGAAAACAAAAAAGGACAAAAAGCTGACAAGACAAAAGGAAATGAAGAGGTAACAATTTGTAAAAACATTTCAAATATAAAAAAATATTATAATTAACTTCATTATATATGATAAATCTCCTGACATGAGATACTCATCCAAGTTTAGTCTAGGTCTTGTCAAGATCCAGATCAAACTTAAGTAAAAAATCTAATGAATCTTCACCAAAAAAACCACTTACAAAGAAAACAAATCAAAGACGACCATCACAAGGTTGTTATCAGATTAGCAAACAAAAGTGTTCTTAATCCAAATCCAATCTCTGTAGCAATTCCTACTGAGACATAGGACCATCAAAGCATGATCTGGATGAACCAAGAGAGAAGAAGCTTGCCGATGCTTTCAAATCACCCTTCAAATGCAGAATAATGACACAAAACCTAACCGACACATCAGGTGAGTATTGTCTGTGAGTGGTTGTTCAACTTGCAAGGGAATACTCGTAAGTAACTTTATTTTATAGACATTCATATATGATTATTATATAAATAATAATGTATGACATTTTGATTATATATTTGCAGAGATGTGGTTTCCAGACAAAATATAGTCAGATAACAGAAAGAGCAATTATGGAAAGTCTATATGCAAGCACAGAGATTTTTGGAGAAGTTTTAGACACTTGGGCTGATTTACTTAACCACCAAGAACTGGAAAGGGATTTTGGAAATTCACCATACAGACTCTTCTTGAAAGTTGCAGTTTCTGTAAGTTTATGTTCTAACCTTAATTTCTTCTTTTATTGATAAATGAATACACCAATGATGTATTCATTTATGAATATTATATTTTTTACAACTGAAATTCACATATGATTATACCAATATGATGTATTCTTTAATATAATTATGTATATTCAACTGAAATTCACATATGATTTATTCATCTTTGAATAAAAAATCAAAAATAAATATCTTTAGTATATACTCATGATTATTATACCAACATGATATATTCATTTATGATTAACAATTTACTAATCCTTTAAAATTATATTGGTTACAAACTGTTTATCTAACTTCAACAATGTCTGATGAAAGAAAGTATGAAAAATTCAAGGAGCAATTTTCATGACAGTACCGATGGGTACAAAAAAAATCTTGAACATAAAAGATATTGACATGGTATGTTAATTAAACTTGTTTTTTTATATATATTTATCAACAAAATACTTACCATTATATACATAAAACAGGTATTCTTTCCAATTGTTAGAAGTGCTCACATTTTTGTGATTGTCATCAACTTAAAGAAACCATCAATTGAAATTCTAGAAACAGTGCAGTTGAGGGGGATTATGAAGGGAAATACAGAGTACTATTGAAACCTTTGGTAGTACCCAATTCACAACAACATAAAAAGAACCAATTTATTACATATCTACCTTTTATTTTATTTAATTATCAGAAAAAATTGTTTGGTGATATGCTTAAAGAAATAAACATCCAAGAGCAAATGCAATCTCAAAGAAAGTATCACACCCCCACGACTTGAAATGTCATGGAGAACAGTTAAACAAAGTTGATTGTGGGGTTTTTGCAATGAGACATATGGAGACCTGTATGGGACAACCACTCTCAAAGTGGAAACCAGGTCTTCATAAAGAAAGTGCAATTCAACAAACTACTTTAGAGATGCTCAGGCAAAGGTATGCACACCGAATGCTAATGCTACTGAAATTAACATGTTGAAGGCTAATGTGTTGGATCTTGCTGAAAAATATCAAAAGTTGAATTCAAAGTGCGTACTGATCATGCATACAAGGCTACAAACAATTCAAAAAGGTAAAAGAATATTGATGATTGCTTGTGATGAAGTGTGATGCCTATAGAATAGTTTGTGTTGAAGATGAATGAATTTGAAGTACATGTAAATGATTCTGCGAACAAAGTTTTAGATGGTTTGTTAAATGTTATTGAACATCGTTTAAATAGTTTGTGAAATGCTTATGAACATATTTTATTAATCTTGTGTGGAATGATTATGTAATAGAAACAAGTTTGCTTATTTCTGTCATTTTTTTATATTCAAATATTTTAAAGTTTATTTCTGTTTATTCATAAATGAATACGAATATGATATATTCATTTATGATTAAGTTAGGAGTAATATGTCAGTATAACAAAGTCATATATGAATATAACAAATTTCAGATATGAATATAACTTATTTATAGTAGAAACAAGTTAGCTTATTTCTGTCATTTTTTTTATATTCAAATATTTTCAAAGTTTATTCTCTTTATTCATAAATGAATACGAATATGATATACTCATTATGATTAAGTTAGGAGTAATATGTTAGTATAACAAAGTTCAGATATGAACATAAAAATTTCAGATATGAATATAACTTATTTATAGTATAACAAAGTTCACATATTTGTATTCATTATACTAGTTTTCAATTTTATTAAGTTATATCATAATTGAGAATACAACATTGTATATCATTCACCTTTATATGTAAATAATAACATCTTCAATGATAAATGAATCCACACATTATGTATTCATTTATGAATAATTTACAAATAATATGTGTATTTCACATATAAATTTACCATATCAATATAACTTATTTAATATAACTAATTTAAAAAACAAATATGATATATTCATTTTAAAGAACATATATTTTCAAATATCAATTTACCATATCAATATAAATGATTATTATTCATACATGAATATTATTGTTTATGGTTATTATATGCATATATTCATAAATGAATAAAACCAAAAAACATAAAAAAAAACCAAAGGTCTTTTGTTGATTGAGCAGCTGCAAGCTTACTGGACATGTACGTACATTGTGAGGACTCGTTTTCCACATCCTGAACATATTCTATGTTCTTTTTTAGAATTTTCATATACTACTTCACCTGCACTTGAATTCTTTTCTTGATTCCAAAACCTTTATTGCTTTGAACTTGAGGAACATGAATATTAATCCTCTTTGGAATAGGAATAGAAACACCCATAAGCTTGCATACGACTTTACCATCCGTCTTGCTTTTCAATCCAGCAGATGTATAATCAACTCACTCTCAAATTCATACAACACATCTGTTGTTTCTCAGTAAACAAAGCCAATTTCTTTTTGTCATCCTCTTTACAATATTCAAACATGATTCAAAATTATAATATGAATCATTGACTAGCTTCACATTCTCACATCCCCTGAATCAGATTGAAGAGAACTAAAACGATAATTATTGATATCACATCCTTTCTCCATCTTTTCAGAATGTACCTTTCAGGAATTTCTTTCACAAACCACATCCATCATCATTAGTGTAAAAGCATGTCTGCATAAAAACCCATACGCTTGAAATGTTCACAACTGCAATTTATTTCTTTCTCTTCTCTTCAGCTTTTATTCCAACCTGATAAAAAACATAATAAAAAGAACAAATTATTGAAATCGTCCCTATGGTTTAGTTAAATTACAAACGTTGGTCCCTAACTTTTGTTTTGCACTCGGACCGTCCTTACTGTTGATTTTGTTGCGTTGTTAGTCCCTCATAACATAAAAAGACTATAATGCCCTTTATGTTTTCTTTTTCATTGTTTTTATTTTTTTAGTTATTAGTTATATTAACTAAAGGTGTATTAATATAATAGGTTCCACCGTACCACCACCTGTTGATGTTAACCACCACCAACTAAACCATCAGAAACCACCAGCCACCAGAAACTACCACCGGTGACCGCATAGCCACCACTTGCCCACTCCTTACTCCGACACCTCCGATAACAACCATTCCCCTTTACTAACACATTTATAGACATATAAACCCATTCCTATCATTACAACCAGGCAACAGTCATCACCATCACCACCCACTTATTCTGTTACACAACCACCATTCACCCTATTCCGACAACCACCACGCCTATTCAGGTCGCCCACA